CCCCAAAACCCCAAAACCCCAAAACCCCATTTATTGCCAATAGATTTTAATCAGAATAATGAGCGATATTTTAGCAAATTCCGGCTATATTCCTGGAAGGAACATTGAGTACCCGGTCAGAGTCTCCTCTATTGATGCTTACAAGAAGGAAGCTATTGAGAATTATCTTAATAATCTGGCTTTAATGGATAGGCATTATTTGAACTTTAATACGAAATTCCTATCAGCTATTAGTCAGAGAAAAGAGAGAGTAAATAATATTGTCAGAAGGATTGCATATATACAAAGCAAGTTTAAGACTCTTGAAAGCGTCAAGAAAGCTATTAGAATCTCAGCGCCAAGAGCATACCCTCTTCAGAAGTCCAGAAAGCATGCTAAATCTATCCATTTTGATGATGGATTTAATCCTTCTGAGGAGGATGTAGATCCTATTTATAATAAAATCTATGGTCAAAGGATCATACATGAAGTAGGAGAGCTTGGATCTAGAGTTGAAACCTCAGCCCAAGACTTATCGAACCTCATCCAGTGTTATAACCACATCAATCTTGAGAGAGATACATTAGGAGAGATGTATAGAAGCAAGCGTCAAGAGAATGAATCTATTCTTGGAAGGACTCCTTCAGTAGTTAAAAATATATCAGAACTCCTTCTTTTTAATTCCTCTACAAATGTATACTCTGATGTTCATGCTGGCCTTCCAAACTCTAAATGGGAGAAAGCCTGAGAAAAGAATAGAAGGAAGCAGAGGAAGAGTCAAAAGATGAAAGATAACGCCTCAATTTTTTACCCAAACAAAGTAGAAGAAAATAGTCTTCTCCAAGCTCCTCCGCTGAGTATAATAAAAAGAAAAGAAAACAACGGATTTAAAAAACAAGGATTTTTATTCGAGCCTGAACTTAAAGAAGAGGAGAAGAAGCTTCAGGTTGAAAAAAACCTTAACTTTGGTACAGATCTATATGACTTTGTTGATGAGAAAGATATCATCGGAGGAGAAAAGTATAATTATAAAGAAGATAATTTTGTTGGTATTGAAGATGCTATTGCTCCAATGAAAGTAAGAAAAAGAGAGAAGAAAACAAATTTGAACAAAAGCCAGATGAATTATTGAACAAATGCTAAGCCAGATTACTCAAGAAGAAAATTCTCTGAAGGAGATGACTCTTATAATGATGCTCCAATAGATTTTATGCTAAAAAAAACTATCTTCTAAAACAAGCATCAAGCCTACCCTCTCAATTCTGACAAGTTTCCGACCCCACAAAAATCCCCCTTGTCAACCCCTCCACAGCCCCCATCCCCCTACTCCATCCTTCCTTTCTCCCCAACCCCCGCCTGCTCCCTCCTCTCTTCCTCCACCACCTCCTTCCCAGTCCTGACCAAATTCTGACCAGCCCCTTCCTCTCCCACAAAAGCCTGGGCCAAGCCTGGCCCAGGCTTGTGCAGGAGAAGTAGTGGCTGCAGAAGAAGAAGTCTGTGCAGAGGAGAGGAAATTAGAGGAAGAGAAGGAAGAGACTAAGGGAGATGGGGAACTGGGGATGAGGAGTAATGAGGGAAGTGGAGTAGAAGTTGAGGAGAAGGAGGTGCCGATTCCGAGTGCGCCTGTAAGTGGGAGGGAAAAATTAACATTTCAAGAGGAGTTACTTCTTCAGAGGCAGAATTTAAGAGATAAGCCAAGGAGGAGAAAGCCAAAGAAGATAATAAAAAGTGAAGGAATAGATGGAATTTTAGACCAAGTAAAATTGAGAAGAGAATTTCTAATGAATAAGAAAAGTTCTGAATTATCGGAAGATTCCTCTGATGAAAATAGTGATTCAAAGAGCTGTGAATCTAGTGAATTCGAATAATTTCTTGATAAAATTTAGATAGATTTATGCTTCTCAGAGGAAGCTTGAAATCCCTCTAAATCTTTTGCAACATAAGAAACTTTACAAAAGTATCAAATTTATTGATTTCTTTGGTTTGTTTCTATTTTCAATATTCTCTCTAAAAATTGGGGTTTTGGGGTTTTGGGGTTTTGGGGTTTTGGGGTTTTGGGG